AACAGCACAATGCTCAAATGTGAACTGGCCCTATGGAACAACATGGAAATCTGAGTGTTGACTTGCTTCCGGAAATGTGCCAATTGTCATGAGTCAATTGGGGCTCAAAAAAGAAATAGTAAAATAATTGTAAATTGTCCTTTTACGTTGCCTCTTTGTAGCTATAATGGAAGATCTCCTTACTTGAGGTGTTTTATGTTAAAATGTTTCATTACTGCTGGAGGCTTCTGTAGGGTAACGATTAGAGGTCCTGCATTCCCAGGTATACACCAGCTGGACTTTTTTTTTTTTCCCTACTGTTCAGATTTTCTCGGATTTTTTTTTTTTTTTTTTTTTTTTTTTTTTTTTTTTTAGCTTTGGATAGAGCCAGAAAGGTTATAGAACCTCGGTCAGGATATTTCTGTATGTGTCCCTGTTCTCCAGACAGAAAGTGATTGGGTAGATTTCCCACCCGGACACAGATAAAAACATGTAAATGTAAAAACATCTGACTATTTTCCCCAGTGATGCCACGGCCCCTAATCGTTTACAGGCATCACATAGAAAAATACTTTAATTTGAAATGTTACCGCTTTCCCACTCTTGATAGTAAAGAAACATTCTTGAGTTAGGCTTTAAATACAGCAGGCACGTGAATGACCTATCCTATAATACTTCATTTATGTCGTCAATCCTAGAATGACTACTGGCTCACTCAGAGCTGCCTGAGCCCTGATGTAAAGGCCCAAAGCCCAGTCTTTTTTTTTTTCCCACTCGTGTCGTGGCTACTTTATGTTTCTCCACCACTCCACTCCCATGAAAAAGAAAGTACGCATCACCATTCCTTTCTAAGGGAAGACGGAATCGGCAACATTTACCAACAGGCCAGATTCTAAGTGCTTTCACAGCTCACAATTCAGGTCAAGTTTCCAGGTTTTACCCTCGGGTGGGGCTGTTGACTGCATCTGGAACGGTGGCAGAATCTGTTTAAATGAAGGATATGCAGAAATCGGATCCCTGTCTGTAAATTTGTTGTGGATTGGTTTAGACCTTATGGATCTTCCATTTTATTTTAGTTCAAGGACAAGCACACCTAAAACTGATATTTCAGTTTTAGTTAGATGTCATCAACAGGAGTCACTGGCTGGCTTTGTTTCTATCTCGGCTCTGTTGCGAAGATCACCTCACCACTGCATTTGTGTTACTCTATATAGTCGGTCAACTTTTTGTAATTGTAAATTATGCTACATTTATGAGGAACCCAGCAAGAAGACTGCCACTTGACTTTGTAAAGACTGTATTGGGAACTCTGGAACCCTGGCAGTTGATTTTTTTTCCTCTGGAGTTCCCCAAGAGGTTAATTTAAACACTAAGTGATTCGATTGGCCTGCATTTCCTCAACATCAAAATGGTTAGCGGCGGACGTTTCTGCTAGCATTTCCAAATTGCTGTAGTGGTTACGATAGCACAGCTTTGAACCAATACATTGGCAATATTGGAACCTACTACTCTGAGTTTAGCATGAAGTACAGATTCAAATTATCAGCACAAAGCAAAAGTCACCACAGGGTAACACCACAAGATAGCTACTACCACCTTTATTGGCTGGAAGAGCCTTGTCTGTGTCCTTCCCTGATTTAATCTCCCTTTGATTCTGGGGCCTGACATTCTCTGACTTCATAGCTAAGCCTTGCCAAATGCAATTTCACTACCCAATGATACTGCTTTAGTGGCCATTATGGCAATGCTGATCGGACTGTGGAAAGAATGGGATTAGCCATAAAGTCAGGCCCAAGTAACCAAAGGGAAACTAAGGGGACAAGTTATAAAGACGCCATATGGCCTTTATGTAACCATTCAACTGGTTTTCAAAAAATGAAAATGAAATCCTTCCGCACACTTCCAAAGCCATATTTATTTACATGATAGAAAAAAAGTGCCTAGTGAAGGAGATAAATTCACATGACCCATCAGTCATGTGACTGACCTCTCCTCCAATCACAGAGTGCTCTCTGCAGCATGATGCAAAATCCTTTCCAAAGGCTCCACACATGACTGACTTTTAGAATGCCGGCACAATATGAAGGAAGTACTGTGGTGCCTTCAGACAGCAGAATCGGCTTTCCATTTTTAATAGGGCCCTAAATTCGAGAAGGGCACAGATGATGATTTTCTGGTTAATCAAAAAGCAGCAGGCATCATGTGGTGTCTGCTCTGAGACCAGACTTTTGAAAGAGGAAAATGGAATACCAGTTTACTTTACGGTAGACTCAAACTGTAAGGGGGATGGAGTAGATCTAGAAGGCCAAATAGTACTTGTATGACCCCCTGGGTTTTACTATTGAGAATAAATGCATTTGCTGCTGATAGGAATTTCTACCAGGAAGCTCATGTGGGTTTTCTACTACTTTCTTCTACATCTCTAAATAAAGGATAATAGTCTTGTATGCATTATTTTATCAAATGTTAAAACTTTTGGTACAAGAAAAGCCTC